GCACTTATGCTGAACAGGATTGGGGCAGTATATAGATACTATAGTACCTATGAAACATAGCCTTGAAGGGTTGCCGACATGATTCTTGTTGGCCATGTTGACAAAATGCATTTGCATTTGCTTATTTTTCTCATGAATCAGGTTGGATATCTTTTTGGCAAATAATTGGCACACTCCAAGCGCGCCCGGCTGGCATGACTTGATGTTCGTGCAGTACCCCAGGCATTCGATTCTATCCAGTTTGCCAGACGCCGAGACTGGAATTGATGTCTCGCTTTCATGTTCGTTTCGGTGTCCAGCCTTCCTGGTGCAGAATGAGTGCGGATTTGGCCAGAGATTGCGCCCAAAATGGCTTCGGTCAGTTTCCTCATAGGGGCCTTCAGGTTCCTGGCAGCCCCGCAGCCCCGCAGCCCGGACCATGTCTTCTGAATGGAGCAAACATGTTGCCAGGCTGTCAACAAGCTATTGCTGTTCTTTTTGCTGGGATGTCCCTGACATGTGGAAGGGTGACGCAGAATGAATCATCACTTGAAGCAACGAGCAGACAGATTGACATGCTGCTTCCCCCCCTGTCCAAATACCCGCCTGTTTTAGTTGCATATGATCAAAAGCCAGGTGGGGGTGAGTTTTTCTTAAGACGACATGTGTTCCTGGAGTCTCCTGCCCCGAATCAAGCATGCGTCAATGACCAACCATGATTTTGGGTAATGACTCAGGAATTAGGAATGGATTGGTTTGGAGAAATGAAACCCTTCCGGGACCTTACGTAGCTGGGGGCACCAAACCCCCCATTTTTCTCGGGTCATGGAGACTCCCATAGGCGTGGGCTGGCCACCCGGCGAGGCTTCAGGGCCTTGGTCCAGGAGTTACTTCGACTGTCAAAGAATTTGGTCAACCCGAAATGGGTTGGTTTATGGAAACCTGGCAGTAAAACCTGGGGTCCATATCCTGGTTTCATTTTGGCCCAAGCCCAACCCCGCAAGAGCCCACAGGTGTTCTCATGTCCCGCTCGCGTTTTGGCTCAGGCCGCGATGAATGGCAAAACAAGGCGAGCAATCGTGGCCCGCGAAATGGCTTGTTCTCAAGGGTGGAGGGATTGGTCCGGGTTAATCATTGGAGGCTTTTTTCTGGTCAAGTCATGAGCCTTGCAGCGGCATGTCTTTGTTGAGGGTATCCTTTCTGTTGTGGTTTCAAAGGGAAACCAAGTGGGAAACCACTTGTTCTGGGCAATCCCTCAAAGAAAAGACAGCCTCACAGAACCTAAAGACTGCCCTCCGGACCCGCACCCAAGGGTGGAGGGTGAATACGCGGCCTGTGTTCGGGGAGGGGTCTTTGCGGTGGTTGAGGCCGAATGGAAGTGGACAAGTGTTGGAAGACTTGGATGGTTCTTTCTTTGTTTGCTTGGTACCCTTGTTTTACATGAAGTCAGATCTTGTGATGCCAGCTGTACACTCCAGAACAGTGCAAGCAGTGTGTAATCTGCCCACATCTTTGGCAAATGCATGGTAGTCATGAGTCACATCAATAGGTTGCACCCTGATCGAAGAGCTGTCAGCATGGGTGCGCATACTTGTTGGCTCCAGTTGCTTGCCTGCCTTGCCCACTTGCCAGACTCTGCAGCATGGCGCGTGGTAGGGCACTTCTGACGGTGCTGACGGTGCTCTTGGTGCGCATCTCACCTGACTTCCTGCCAGGTGTGTCCATTGAGCCGCGGACTTTGAGGGTCAGCACATATGCCAAAGCCAAGAAGTCTCCCGAATCACTCGAGCCTCCCAAGCGACCCTTGACAGGCTTCCTTCGCTACCTGCAGGAGATGCGTCCCAGCATCGTTAAGAAGCTTCCAAAAGGCGCACCCGTCTCTGAGGTTGCGAAAGAAGGCGGAAAGCAGTGGAGAGGCTTGTCTGCAGTAAAGAAGAAGCCCTACGAGGAGGCAGCAGAGGAAGACTGGGATGAGTATCGAGAGGCCATGGCTGAATTCAAAGCGCAAGGGGGGGTTATGCCGGTGAAGAAGAAGCGAGGAGCCAAGAAGCAGAGGGACCCCAACATGCCGAAGCGACCGCTGAGTGCATACGTCCTGTTTACGACAGAGAACAGGCCCAAGATCGTGAAATCTCTTCCGGCTGACTCCAAAGCCACAGAGGTCATGAAAGAGGCTGGCAAGCAGTGGCGGGCGCTGACAGCAGCCAACAAAAAGAAATACGAGACAGAAGCGGCAAAGCTCAAGAAAGAGTACGCCAAGGAGATGGATGCCTACAAGGCGCAGCTTGCATGAGGGCAAGCAGCTCGCGGGTCGGCATCAAGCAGACTCAAGCCTCCTTGTGGTTTTCGACGAGGCATGACGATGGGACACCGAGAATGAGATTGCATTCCGATTAGTTTCTAGCTACAGCGTCTAATTAGTGCAAGAGGCCGCTGCTGTTGAATGATCATTTTGCCGCCTGTGCAGTGGAGTCGTGTTTAGGTGTGCGCTTGTTCATAGCGTGCCATGACCACAGATGTGAAGTTGGGAAAAAAAGTTGAGCTTCGCATCGAAGCAGGGAAGTTTGCTGCTTCATCTGTTTGCCGGAATGGTTTACTCATGGCAGCTCCGAAGAACAGGCTCTGAAGTGGATTCAGTTGGTAAGTAGTTGGTTTTGCCTGGGACATTCTAGGATGTTTTGGGCATGTCAGGCTTTTCGGGCAGCTCGGGCATTTCGACATGTCGGACATGTTGCACAATGTTCGCATTAAAATCCTGTTTTGCACGCTGTGCACTCCAGAACATTGCAAGCATGTTTGTAATTTGTCCACATGTTTGAAGCGCTGCGGGTTTTGACGCTGCGCGTGTCATTGCAGTCATGCAGTACATTTGCTGTGCACAGTTTGAAGCATGGTATCAGCAGCATGGGTGCGCATACTTGTTGGCTCCAGCTGCTTGGCTGCCTAGTTTGCCCACTTACCAGACTCTGCAGCATGGCGCGTGGTAGGGTACTTCTGACGGTGCTGACGGTGCTCTTGGTGCGCATCTCACCTGTCTTCCTGCCAGGTGTGTCCATTGAGCCGCGGACTTTGAGGGTCAGCGCAGATGCCAAAGCCAAGAAGTCTCCCGAATCACTCGAGCCTCCCAAGCGACCCTTGACAAGCTTCCTTCGCTACCTGCAGGAGATGCGCCCCAGCATCGTTAAGAAGCTTTCAATTGGCGCACCCGTCTCTGAGGTTGCGAAAGAAGGCGGAAAGCAGTGGAGAGGCTTGTCTGCAGTAAAGAAGAAGCCCTACGAGGAGGCAGCAGAGGAAGACTGGGATGAGTATCGAGAGGCCATGGCTGAATTCAAAGCGCAAGGGGGGGTTATGCCGGTGAAGAAGAAGCGAGGAGCCAAGAAGCAGAGGGACCCCAACATGCCGAAGCGACCGCTGAGTGCATACGTCCTGTTTACGACAGAGAACAGGCCCAAGTTCGTGAAATCTCTTCCGGCTGATTCCAAAGCCACAGAGGTCATGAAAGAGGCTGGCAAGCAGTGGCGGGCGCTGACAGCAGCCAACAAAAAGAAATACGAGACAGAAGCGGCAAAGCTCAAGAAAGAGTACGCCAAGGAGATGGATGCCTACAAGGCGCAGCTTGCATGAGGGCAAGCAGCTCGCGGGTCGGCATCAAGCAGACTCAAGCCTCCTTGTGATCTTTGTAAGGCATGACGATAAGGCACCGATAATGAATTTGCATTCCGATTAGTTTCTAGCGACAGCTTGTAATTAGTGCAAAAGGCTGCTGTGATTCAATGATCAATTTGCCGCCTGTGCAGTGGAGTCGTGTTTAGGTGTGCGCTTGTTCATAGCGTGCCATGACCACAGATGTGAAGTTGGGAAAAAAAGTTGAGCTTCGCATCGAAGGAAGGAAGTTTGCTGCTTCATCTGTTTGCCGGAATGGTTTACTCATGGCAGCTCCGAAGAACAGGCTCTGAAGTGGATTCAGTTGGTAAGTAGTTGGTTTTGCCTGGGACATTCTAGGATGTTTTGGGCATGTCAGGCTTTTCGGGCAGTTCGGGCATTTGGACATGTCGGACATGTTGCACAATGTTGCGCATTAAGATCTTGTTTTGCATGCTGTGCACTCCAGAACATTGCAAGCTCGACACCCAGGTGGGGGTGAGTTTTTCTTAAGACGACATTTGTTCCTGGAGTCTCCTGCCCCGAATCAAACATGGGTCAATGACCAACCATGACTTTGGGTAATGACTCAGGAATTAGGAATGGATTGGTTTGGAGAAATGAAACCCTTCCGGGACCTTCCGTAGCTGCGGGCACCAAACCCCCCATTTTTTCTCGGGTCATGGAGACTCCCCAAGGCGTGGGCTGGCCACCCGGCGAGGCTTCAGGGCCTTGGTCCAGGAGTTACTTCGACTGTCAAAGAATTTGGTCAACCCGAAATGGGTTGGTTTATGGAAACCTGGCAGTAAAACCTGGGGTCCATATCCTGGTTTCATTTTGGCCCAAGCCCAACCCGGAAGAGCCCACAGGTGTTCTCATGTCCCGCTCGCGTTTTGGCTCAGGCCGCGATGAATGGCAAAACAAGGCGAGCAATCGTGGCCCGCGAAATGGCTTGTTCTCAAGGGTGGAGGGATTGGTCCGGGTTAATCATTGGAGGCTTTTTTCTGGTCAAGTCATGAGCCTTGCAGCGGCATGTCTTTGTTGAGGGTATCCTTTCTGTTGTGGTTTCAAAGGGAAACCAAGTGGGAAACCACTTGTTCTGGGGAATCCCTCGAAGAAAAGACAGCCTCACAGAACCTAAAGACTGCCCTCCGGACCCGCACCCAAGGGTGGAGGGTGAATACGCGGCCTGTGTTCGGGGAGGGGTCTTTGCGCTGGTTGAGGCTGAATGGAAGTGGACAAGTGTTGGAAGACTTGGATGGTTGTTTCTTTGTTTGCTTGGTACCCTTGTTTTACATGAAGTCAGATCTTGTGATGCCAGCTGTACACTCCAGAACAGTGCAAGCAGTGTGTAATCTGCCCACATCTTTGGCAAATGCATGGTAGTCATGAGTCACATCAATAGGTTGCGCCCTGATCGAACAGCTGTCAGCATGGGTGCCCATACTTGTTGGCTCCAGCTGCTTGGCTGCCTAGTTTGCCCACTTACCAGACTCTGCAGCATGGTGCGTGGTAGGGTACTTCTGACGGTGCTGACGGTGCTCTTGGTGCGCATCTCACCTGTCTTCCTGCCAGGTGTGTCCATTGAGCCGCGGACTTTGAGGGTCAGCGCAGATGCCAAAGCCAAGAAGTCTCCCGAATCACTCGAGCCTCCCAAGCGACCCTTGACAAGCTTCCTTCGCTACATGCAGGAGATGCGTCCCAGCATCGTTAAGAAGCTTCCAAAAGGCGCACCCGTCTCTGAGGTTGCCAAGGAAGGGGGCAGGAAGTGGAGAGGCTTGTCCGCAGCCAAGAAGAAGCCCTACGAGGAGGCAGCAGAGGAAGAGTGGGATGAGTATCGAGAGGCCATGGCTGAATTCAAAGCGCAAGGGGGCGTTATGCCGGTGAAGAAGAAGCGAGGAGCCAAGAAGCAGAGGGACCCCAACATGCCGAAGCGACCACTGAGTGCCTACGTCCTGTTTACAATGGAGAACAGGCCCAAGTTCGTGAAATCTCTTCCGGCTGATGCCAAAGTCACAGAGGTCATGAAAGAGGCTGGCAAGCAGTGGAGGGCGCTGACAGCAGCCAACAGAAAGAAATACGAGACAAAAGCGACAAAGCTCAAGAAAGAGTACGCCAAGGAGATGGATGCCTACAAGGCGCAGCTTGCATGAGGGCAAGCAGCTCGCGGGTCGGCATCAAGCAGACTCAAGCCTCCTTGTGATCTTTGATGAGGCATGACGATAAGGCACCGATAATGAATTTGCATTCCGATTAGTTTCTAGCGACAGCTTGTAATTAGTGCAAAAGGCTGCTGTGATTCAATGATCAATTTGCCGCCTGTGCAGTGGAGTCGTGCTTACGCACTTGTTCACACTGCACAATGATGAATGACAGATGAGAAGTTGAGAAAAAGTTGAGCTTCGCATCGAAGGAAGGATTTTTGCGGCTTCAGCTGTTTGCCGGAGTGGTTTACTCATGGCAGCTCCCAAGAACAGGCTCTGAAGTGGATTCCGGTGGTAAGTAGTTGGTTTTGCCTGGGACATTCTAGGATGTTTTGGGCATGTCAGGCTTTTCGGGCAGTTCGGGCATTTGGACATGTCGGACATGTTGCACAATGTTGCGCATTAAGATCTTGTTTTGCATGCTGTGCACTCCAGAACATTGCAAGCTCGACACCCAGGTGGGGGTGAGTTTTTCTTAAGACGACATTTGTTCCTGGAGTCTCCTGCCCCGAATCAAACATGGGTCAATGACCAACCATGATTTTGGGTACTGACTCAGGAATTAGAAATGGATTGGTTTGGAGAAATGAAACCCTTCCGGGACCTTCCGTAGCTGCGGGCACCAAACCCCCCATTTTTTCTCGGGTCATGGAGACTCCCCAAGGCGTGGGCTGGCCACCCGGCGAGGCTTCAGGGCCTTGGTCCAGGAGTTACTTCGACTGTCAAAGAATTTGGTCAACCCGAAATGGGTTGGTTTATGGAAACCTGGCAGTAAAACCTGGGGTCCATATCCTGGTTTCATTTTGGCCCAAGCCCAACCCCGCAAGAGCCCACAGGTGTTCTCATGTCCCGCTCGCGTTTTGGCTCAGGCCGCGATGAATGGCAAAACAAGGCGAGCAATCGTGGCCCGCGAAATGGCTTGTTCTCAAGGGTGGAGGGATTGGTCCGGGTTAATCATTGGAGGCTTTTTTCTGGTCAAGTCATGAGCCTTGCAGCGGCATGTCTTTGTTGAGGGTATCCTTTCTGTTGTGGTTTCAAAGGGAAACCAAGTGGGAAACCACTTGTTCTGGGGAATCCCTCAAAGAAAAGACAGCCTCACAGAACCTAAAGACTGCCCCCCGGACCCGCACCCAAGGGTGGAGGGTGAATACGCGGCCTGTGTTCGGGGAGGGGTCTTTGCGGTGGTTGAGGCCGAATGGAAGTGGACAAGTGTTGGAAGACTTGGATGGTTCTTTCTTTGTTTGCTTGGTACCCTTGTTTTACATGAAGTCAGATCTTGTGATGCCAGCTGTACACTCCAGAACACTGCAAGCAGTGTGTAATCTGCCCACATCTTTGGCAAATGCATGGTAGTCATGAGTCACATCAATAGGTTGCGCCCTGATCGAAGAGCTGTCAGCATGGGTGCGCATACTTGTTGGCTCCAGTTGCTTGCCTGCCTTGCCCACTTGCCAGACTCTGCAGCATGGCGCGTGGTAGGGCACTTCTGACGGTGCTGACGGTGCTCTTGGTGCGCATCTCACCTGACATCCTGCCAGGTGTGTCCATTGAGCCGCGGACTTTGAGGGTCAGCACATATGCCAAAGCCAAGAAGTCTCCCGAATCACTCGAGCCTCCCAAGCGACCCTTGACAAGCTTCCTTCGCTACATGCAGGAGATGCGTCCCAGCATCGTTAAGAAGCTTCCAAAAAGGCGCACCCGTCTCTGAGGTTGCCAAGGAAGGGGGTAGGAAGTGGAGAGGCTTGTCCGCAGCCAAGAAGAAGCCTTACGAGGAGGCAGCAGAGGAAGAGTGGGATGAGTATCGAGAGGCCATGGCTGAATTCAAAGCGCAAGGGGGCGTTGTGCCGGTGAAGAAGAAGCGAGGAGCCAAGAAGCAGAGGGACCCCAACATGCCGAAGCGACCACTGAGCGCCTACATGCTGTTTATGATGGAGAACCGGCCCAAGTTCGTGAAATCTCTTCCGGCTGATGCCAAAGCCACAGAGGTCATGAAAGAGGGTGGCAAGCAGTGGAGGGCGCTGACAGCAGCCAAAAAGAAGAAATACGAGACAGAGGCTGCAAAACTCAAAAAAGAGTACGCCAAGGAGATGGATGCCTACAAGGCGCAGCTTGCATGAGGGCAAGCAGCTCGCGTGTCCGCATCAAGCAGACTCAAGCCTTCTTGTGGTCTTTGATGAGGCATGACGATGAGGCACCCACATGAATTTGCATTCCGATTAGTTTCTAGCGACAGCTTGTAATAAGTGCACAAGGCTGCTGTGATTCAATGATCAGTTTGCCGCCTGTGCAGTGGAGTCGTGCTTACGCACTTGTTCATACTGCACAATGATGAATGACAGATGGGAAGTTGAGGAAAAGTTGAGCTTCGCATTGAAGGAGGGATTTTTGCGGCTTCAGCTGTTTGCCGGAGTGGTTTACTCATGGCAGCTCCCAAGAACAAACTCTGAAGTGGATTCCGTTGGTAAGTTGAGTTGGTTTTGCCTGGGGCATTCTTGGATTGTTTGGGCATGTCAGGCTTTTCGGGCAGTTCGGGCCTTTGGACATGTCGGACATGTTGCGCAATGTTGCGCATTAAGATCTTGCTTTGCACGCTGTGCACTCCAGAACATTGCAATCATGTTTGCAATTTGTCCACATGTTTGAAGCGCTGCGGGTTTGATTGCAGTCATGCAGTACATTTGCTGCGCACAGTTTGAAGCATGGTATCAGCAGCATGGGTGCGCATACTTGTTGGCTCCAGCTGCTTGGCTGCCTGGTTTGCCCACTTGCCAGACTCTGCAGCATGGCGCGTGGTAGGGTACTTCTGGCGGTGCTGACGGTGCTCTTGGTGCGCATCTCACCTGTCTTCCTGCCAGGTTTATCCATTGAGCCGCGGACTTTGAGGGTCAGCGCAGATGCCAAAGCCAAGAAGTCTCCCGAATCACTCGAGCCTCCCAAGCGACCCTTGACAAGCTTCCTTCGCTACATGCAGGAGATGCGTCCCAGCATCGTTAAGAAGCTTCCAAAAGGCGCACCCGTCTCTGAGGTTGCCAAGGAAGGGGGCAGGAAGTGGAGAGGCTTGTCCGCAGCCAAGAAGAAGCCTTACGAGGAGGCAGCAGAGGAAGAGTGGGATGAGTATCGAGAGGCCATGGCTGAATTCAAAGCGCAAGGGGGCGTTATGCCGGTGAAGAAGAAGCGAGGAGCCAAGAAGCAGAGGGACCCCAACATGCCGAAGCGACCACTGAGCGCCTACATCCTGTTTATGATGGAGAACCGGCCCAAGATCGTGAAATCCCTTCCGGCTGATGCCAAAGTCACAGAGGTCATGAAAGAGGCTGGCAAGCAGTGGAGGGCGCTGACAGCAGCCAAAAAGAAGAAATACGAGACAGAGGCTGCAAAACTCAAGAAAGAGTACGCCAAGGAGATGGATGCCTACAAGGCGCAGCTTGCATGAGGGCAAGCAGCTCGCGTGTCCGCATCAAGCAGACTCAAGCCTCCTTGTGATCTTTGATGAGGCATGACGATAAGGCACCGATAATGAATTTGCATTCCGATTAGTTTCTAGCGACAGCTTGTAATTAGTGCAAAAGGCTGCTGTGATTCAATGATCAGTTTGCCGCCTGTGCAGTGGAGTCGTGCTTATAACTGCACTTGTTCATACTGCACAATGATGAATGACAGATGGGAAGTTGAGAAAAAGTTGAGCTTCGCATTGAAGGAGGGAATTTTGCGGCTTCAGCTGTTTGCCGGAGTGGTTTACTCATGGCAGCTCCCAAGAACAAACTCTGAAGTGGATTCCGTTGGTAAGTTGAGTTGGTTTTGCCTGGGGCATTCTAGGATTGTTTGGGCATGTCAGGCTTTTCGGGCAGTTCGGGCCTTTGGACATGTCGGACATGTTGCGCAATGTTGCGCATTAAGATCTTGTTTTGCACGCTGTGCACTCCAGAACATTGCAATCATGTTTGCAATTTGTCCACATGTTTGAAGCGCTGCGGGTTTGATTGCAGTCATGCAGTACATTTGCTGCGCACAGTTTGAAGCATGGTATCAGCAGCATGGGTGCGCATACTTGTTGGCTCCAGCTGCTTGGCTGCCTGGTTTGCCCACTTGCCAGACTCTGCAGCATGGCGCGTGGTAGGGTACTTCTGGCGGTGCTGACGGTGCTCTTGGTGCGCATCTCACCTGTCTTCCTGCCAGGTTTATCCATTGAGCCGCGGACTTTGAGGGTCAGCGCAGATGCCAAAGCCAAGAAGTCTCCCGAATCACTCGAGCCTCCCAAGCGACCCTTGACAAGCTTCCTTCGCTACATGCAGGAGATGCGTCCCAGCATCGTTAAGAAGCTTCCAAAAGGCGCACCCGTCTCTGAGGTTGCCAAGGAAGGGGGCAGGAAGTGGAGAGGCTTGTCCGCAGCCAAGAAGAAGCCTTACGAGGAGGCAGCAGAGGAAGAGTGGGATGAGTATCGAGAGGCCATGGCTGAATTCAAAGCGCAAGGGGGCGTTATGCCGGTGAAGAAGAAGCGAGGAGCCAAGAAGCAGAGGGACCCCAACATGCCGAAGCGACCACTGAGCGCCTACATCCTGTTTATGATGGAGAACCGGCCCAAGATCGTGAAATCCCTTCCGGCTGATGCCAAAGTCACAGAGGTCATGAAAGAGGCTGGCAAGCAGTGGAGGGCGCTGACAGCAGCCAAAAAGAAGAAATACGAGACAGAGGCTGCAAAACTCAAGAAAGAGTACGCCAAGGAGATGGATGCCTACAAGGCGCAGCTTGCATGAGGGCAAGCAGCTCGCGTGTCCGCATCAAGCAGACTCAAGCCTCCTTGTGATCTTTGATGAGGCATGACGATAAGGCACCGATAATGAATTTGCATTCCGATTAGTTTCTAGCGACAGCTTGTAATTAGTGCAAAAGGCTGCTGTGATTCAATGATCAGTTTGCCGCCTGTGCAGTGGAGTCGTGCTTATAACTGCACTTGTTCATACTGCACAATGATGAATGACAGATGGGAAGTTGAGAAAAAGTTGAGCTTCGCATTGAAGGAGGGAATTTTGCGGCTTCAGCTGTTTGCCGGAGTGGTTTACTCATGGCAGCTCCCAAGAACAGGCTCTGAAGTGGATTCCGGTGGTAAGTTGAGTTGGTTTTGCCTGGGACATTCTAGGATGGTTTGGGCATGTCAGGCTTTTCGGGCAGTTCGGGCATTTGGACATGTCGGACATGTTGCGCAATGTTGCACTTTAAGATCTTGTTTTGCACGCTGTACACTCGAGATCATCGCACGCATGTTTGTAATTTGTCCACATGTTTGAAGCGCTGCGGGTTTGACGCTGCGAGTGTCATTGCAGTCATGCAGTACATCTGCTGTGCACAGTTTGAAGCATGGTATCAGCAGCATGGGTGCGCATACTTGTTGGCTCCAGCTGCTTGGCTTCCTAGTTTGCCCACTTGCCAGACTCTGCAGCATGGCGCGTGGTAGGGTACTTCTGACGGTGCTGACGGTGCTCTTGGTGCGCATCTCACCTGTCTTCCTGCCAGGTGTGTCCATTGCGCCGCGGACTTTGAGGGTCAGCACAGATGCCAAAGCCAAGAAGTCTCCCGAATCACTCGAGCCTCCCAAGCGACCCATGTCAGGCTTCTTTCGCTACCTGCAAGAGATGCGTCCGAGCATCGTTAAGAGGCTTCCAAAAGGCGCACCCGTCTCTGAGGTTGCCAAGGAAGGGGGCAGGAAGTGGAGAGGCTTGTCCGCAGCCAAGAAGAAGCCTTACGAGGAGGCAGCAGAGGAAGAGTGGGATGAGTATCGAGAGGCCATGGCTGAATTCAAAGGGCAAGGGGGCGTTATGCCGGTGAAGAAGAAGCGAGGAGCCAAGAAGCAGAGGGACCCCAACATGCCGAAGCGACCACTGAGTGCCTACATCCTGTTTATGATGGAGAACCGGTCCAAGTTCGTGAAATCTCTGCCGGCTGATGCCAAAGCCACAGAGGTCATGAAAGAGGCTGGCAAGCAGTGGAGGGCGCTGACCCCAGCCAACAAAAAGAAATACGAGACAGAAGCTGCGAAACTCAAGAAAGAGTACGCCAAGGAGATGGATGCCTACAAGGCGCAGCTTGCATGAGGGCAAGCAGCTCGCGTGTCCGCATCAAGCAGACTCAAGCCTTCTTGTGGTCTTTGATGAGGCATGACGATGAGGCACCCACATGAATTTGCATTTCGATTAGTTTCTAGCGACAGCTTGTAATTAGTGCAAAAGGCTGCTGTGATTGAATGATCAGTTTGCCGCCTGTGCAGTGGAGTCGTGCTTACGCACTTGTTCATACTGCACAATGATGAATGACAGATGGGAAGTTGAGAAATAGTTGAGCTTTGCATTGAAGGAGGGAATTTTGCGGCTTCAGCTGTTTGCCGGAGTGGTTTACTCATGGCAGCTCCCAAGAACAGGCTCTGAAGTGGATTCCGGTGGTAAGTTGAGTTGGTTTTGCCTGGGACATTCTAGGATGGTTTGGGCATGTCCGGCTTTTCGGGCAGTTCGGGCATTTGGACATGTCGGACATGTTACGCAATGTTGCTCTTTAAGATCTTGTTTTGCACGCTGTACACTCGAGATCATCGCACGCATGTTTGTAATTTGTCCACATGTTTGAGGCGCTGCGGGTTTGACGCTGCAGGTGTCATTGCAGTCATGCAGTACATTTGCTGTGCACAGTTTGAAGCATGGTATCAGCAGCATGGGTGCGCATACTTGTTGGCTCCAGCTGCTTGGCTGCCTAGTTTGCCCACTTGCCAGACTCTGCAGCATGGCGCGTGGTAGGGTACTTCTGACGGTGCTGACGGTGCTCTTGGTGCGCATCTCACCTGTCTTCCTGCCAGGTGTGTCCATTGAGCCGCGGACTTTGAGGGTCAGCACAGATGCCAAAGCCAAGAAGTCTCCCGAATCACTCGAGCCTCCCAAGCGACCCTTGACAAGCTTCCTTCGCTACATGCAGGAGATGCGTCCCAGCATCGTGAAGAAGCTTCCAAAAGGCGCACCGGTCTCTGAGGTTGCCAAGGAAGGGGGCAGGAAGTGGAGAGGCTTGTCCGCAGCCAAGAAGAAGCCTTACGAGGAGGCAGCAGAGGAAGAGTGGGATGAGTATCGAGAGGCCATGG